TAGATAAAAAACCTCTTTATAGATAGATAGATAGATAGATAGATAGATAGATAGATAGATAGATAGATAGATAGATAGATAGATAGATAGATAGATATAGATTTTCTATCTATCATATATATTATAATGTCTGAGAAGGAGTAACCAATATGTTTTGTGCTAAAAACATTCATCTGTTTAACCTGTCCGAGATTATTAAGTATAAATGATTTTTGTGGAGTTTATATGTGTGTAAAAGGAAAGGGACCCAATCCATTTAGCTGTAGAAAACTCTTGGTCCTCCTTTAGAAAGAAAACTCTTGGACACTTTCTCTGACATAGCTTTACTTGGATTGTAAACAAAAGAAAAAGCTTTAGTAATATGGTGAGAATAGCAGAAATATTTTGTTAATAAATCAATCTCTGTTCCCACAGTGTAATAACATTGAATGTATGACCTTTGTGTAAAAAATCGCAGTGTATGCTACAGAATGCAAGTAAACTGTGTACTAAATGTTTTCTTAATATTGATGTGTTCCACCTGCTGGTTATCTAAAACAATGCTGCACATTTGCATTAGAGAAAATGACCAGAGAGGAATATATTCACTCTGATAATGAATCTGATGTTTGTTTGTTGTGTAGATAAGTGCAGAGAGGAGAGATGGCCATCGCCCATGTTGCTACAGAGTATGTGTTCAGCGACTTTCTGCTGAAGGAGCCAAACAAGGCTCGTTACCACAGCATCCGCACAGAGCTGGCTGTGGACAAGATGGTGACCTGCGTGGCCGTGGGGTTGCCCCTCCTCTTTATCTCGCTGGCCTTTGCTCAGGAGGTCTCAGTAGGTGAGTCAGCCTGGATCCAATCTGTTAAAAAAAAATAAAAAATCCAGATCCTCTTTCTAATCAGGCAAAGCTTGAGGGGAAAATTAACCGTTATCAGCTGATCTGTTTGCAGAACGATGTTGTCTTAGATTCAACCAAAGGAATGGGAACAAATAGTGTTGTTGTGACATGTGGTTTGGACCCAAGGGACTAAAAACATTTCTGTTTAAACTCTGTCATACGTTTTCTGTTATGTGTACACATGTCTCATGACTTGAGTTTTAGGAGCTGTTTATGCATCCATGGTGTAACCTCGGTCAGGATTAAAACAAACAAAAACATGCACACAAATCCTTATGTGATGAAATTTTCTTTTCTCTCCAGTGTTGATGTTTTCATATTGATGAATTCGTATGAAATATAAGCTTTTCTTTTTAAATTATTTGCTGCAAAGTAGATGCTTAAACATGTTTTAAGCCAAAGTCGTAGAAGTTAATAAATATCATCTTATCTGACCTTAAAAACCTTTAAGTTTTACTTGGTTTTGTTGTTCTTGTGCTTTTTATTTTAGGTACTCAGATCAGTTGTTTTTCTCCCACCAACTTCTCCTGGAAACAGGCTGGCTATGTGGATTCATACTGCTGGGCGTCCGTTCACACACACACTCTACCTCTGTGGCTCCACAAGGTACAGACACACACACACACACACACACACCTCCAAAAAGGTTTAAAAGTGCCCACCCTGTCCGAAGTAAAGCCACCACCATCAGACTCTTGTTCTGCCACAGTTTAATTAATATTTATCCTAGAGCTGAATATGATATAAAATCTGAGATTTAATACATGAGTGAATTTATGGTGCCTTACAAAAATATTTACGCCTAAGAACATTTTTTTTTGGTTTGTTTTAAATGTAAAAGGCAAACTCAAAGCAGAGCGTAACTAAAAACCTGGTTTCCATTTGGAAATAAGGTATATAGCAAACAGCTTGGGGATAAAGTTGTGTGAAGGTTTAAGCAGGTTATCCTGAGCTTTGGACATCTCACAGGAGCACTTCTTGTTCCATACTGGGATAATGGAAAGGGAAAAGCACAACTACACACCAACAAAGACATCTTCCTGCCAGACCGGGAAATAAGAGGTGACTCTGAAGGAGCTGTAGAGATCCAGATCAGAGGTGCTGTTGACATGGAAACCATCCATTTTGCATCACTAAATCTGGCCTTAATAGAAGCCACGGGAGGAAGTTGTCTGGTTTAACCCAAAGGTGAACTTTGTGGTTTGAACTGTTCAGACTGAGGGACAGATATATGGAGCTAAATTCAGGGAAGAAATTTAAAGTGGGATGGAGGTTCACCTTCTAACAGGAGAACAACCTTAAAATTCAGTCAGATCAGATCAGATGGAAACCATCTGATCTGATCTGACTGACTTTTAGCTGTTTCACAAAGAAGAATCTGTTAAACTCTAATGACAAACCCCCAAACAACCTGTAGCTGTAGTTGCAGCAGAAGCTGCTTCTACAAAGTTATAACTCAAGATACCTTAGTATTATTATTCTCCAAACTTGATCAATTTATTGCTTTAATTTCATTTTATTGTTATGCTCTATAGTGTGTCGATAATCTATTGAAATTCAAATAAAATACACTGAGGTTCGTGGTTGAAAAATTACACAATGTTATGTTATGTAAAGCTGATGAATAGTTTTAAAAGGTTTTGATACAGGGGGCATAAAATACTCAAAATCAAAGATCTTATTTTCATGTTTTATACATTTCTCAGTGCTTTAGTACCTAGAAGGTGAGATGTCATGCAGCAAAAGCTCTTTGTTATTTAAATAAAGGGTGTGGTGGAAACATTTTCTAATAATGTGTTTTAAGCTGGGGTGTGTGTTCATGTGTTCTCATTCCTGTGTTTGTTAGACTGGTGTTGCTGGCAGCATAAGGAATGAAAATTACTATTAAAGGAACAAGAGAGTTCTGGCTAAACATTCAGGAAGTTGTCTTTGTTTCATTTGCAGTGGAAAACAGAACTAAAATCATCTGTTTATTTAAATTTTACTCATCCCTAAACCTTTTTTGTCAGAGAATGCACTTTAATAATTTGAATCTCAATGCTTTACATTTAGTCCATCATGTCTAGTTAAAAAAAAACATTCTATTTTCCACAAGCAGATAATATATACAGGTGCTGGTCATAAAATTAGAATATCATGAAAAAGTAGATTGATATCAGTAATTCCATTTAAAAAGTGAAACTTGTATATTATATTCATACATTACATACAAACTCATATATTTCAGATGTTTATTTTGTTTAATTTTGATGATTACAAATGACAACAAATGAAAATCTCAAATTCATCATATCAGAAAATTAGAATATTGTGAAAAGGTTCAAAATTGATGGCCCCTGGTGCCACACTCTAATCAGCTAATTAACTCAAACCACCTGCAAAAGCCTTTAAATGGTCTTTCAGTCTAGTTCTATAGGCTACACAATCATGGGGAAGACTGCTGACTTGACAGTTGTCCAAAAGACGACCATCGACACCTTGCACAAGGAGGGCAAGACACAAAAGGTCATCGCTAAAGAGGCTGGCTGTTCACAGAGCTCAGTGTCCAAGCACATTAATAGAGAGGCGAAGGGAAGGAAAAGATGTGGTCGAAAAAAGTGTACAAGCAAGAGAGATAACCGCACCCTGGAGAGGATTGTGAAACAAAACCCATTCAAAAATGTGGGGGAGATTCACAAAGAGTGGACTGCAGCTGGAGTGAGTGCTTCAAGAACCACCACACACAGACGTATGAAAGACATGGGTTTCTGCTGTCGCATTCCTTCTGTCAAGCCACTCTTGAACCACAGACAGCGTCAGAAGCGTCTTGCCTGGGCTAAAGAGAAACAGGACTGGACTGCTGGTGAGTGGTCCAAAGTCATGTTCTCTGATGAAAGTAAATTTTGCATTTCCTTTGGAAATCAAGGTCCCAGAGTCTGGAGGAAAAGAAGAGAGGCACTTCATCCACGTTGCTTGAAGTCCAGTGTAAAGTTTCCACAGTCAGTGATGGTTTGGGGTGCCATGTCATCTGCTGGTGTTGGTCCATTGTGTTTTCTGAGGTCCAGGGTCAACGCAGCCACATACCAGGAAGTTTTAGAGCACTTCATGCTTCCTGCAGCTGACCAACTTTTTGGAGATGCAGATTTCATTTTCCAACAGGACTTGGCACCTGCACACAGTGCCAAAGCTACCAGTACCTGGTTGAAGGACCATGGTATCCCTGTTCTTAATTGGCCAGCAAACTCTCCTGACCTTAACCCCATAGAAAATCTATGGGGTATTGTGAAGAAGAAGATGCAATACACCAGACCCAACAATTCAGAAGAGCTAAAAGCCACTATTAGAGCAACCTGGGCTATCATAACACCTGAGCAGTGCCACAGACTGATCGACTCCATGCCACGCCGCATTGCTGCAGTAATACAGGCCAAAGGAGGCCCAACTAAATACTGAGTGCTGTACATGCTCATACTTTTCATGTTCATACTTTTCAGTTGGCCAACATTTCTATAAATCCTTTGTTTTTATTGGTCTTCAGTAATATTCTAATTTTCTGATATGATGAATTTGAGATTTTCATTTGTTGTCATTTGTAATCATCAAAATTAAACAAAATAAACATCTGAAATATATGAGTTTGTATGTAATGTATGAATATAATATACAAGTTTCACTTTTTAAATGGAATTACTGAAATCAATCTACTTTTTCATGATATTCTAATTTTATGACCAGCACCTGTAGCTGCTCCTAAACGATGTCAAAAAGCTGAGGCCACTTGTGCACATTAGATCTAAAACAAATCAGTCAGATCTGTTTTTGTACCTTTTTCCAGTTAAAACGGTTATTAGTTTTCTCTTGGAGTCATTTATTAGTTAACTTGCCTTCAGGTTTGGTTTATTTGAAAATAGGAAACTCATTCTTCCTGCCTGACAAATCTAAAGAACCCGGACTTCATAGCCGAGATAAAAAACATAACATTTAATCTTGCATCCATCATCTTCCCCCCGCAGTTCTTCCCCTACATCCTGCTGCTGGTGGCGGTGCTGATGTACTCTCCCGCCTTGTTTTGGAGATTTTCAGCAGCACCTCTCCTGCAGTCGGACCTCGCTTTCATCATGGAGGAGTTGGATCGGTGCTACAACTGCGCCGTCACTCTGGTCAAGCGCTTGAAAACCTCTGACGGGTAGGCTGACCTGCAGAGGTCCTTGTCTGCTCCTGAAGCCCAGCAGATATTTGAGTTTGACTTCATTAGACACATATTTATGACTGATAATATAAGGAGCATAACCTTGCATGACACAGATTGCAAAAAGTTTGTGATTTCCAGACTGGTAACTAAGCGTTACTGCAGTAAGCTCCAGGGACTATTTACCGTATGCATGTCTGCAAAGACATGAACGGTTCATGACTTCATTAAAGTCTGTATTTTGCATCGTTTTATTTGTTTTTCAACAAACGATGGTGATTTCTTCCCGATAAGAACTGAGACCCTAAAACTAAAACATTGTTCACCTCCCTGTTTCAATGCATTGTTCAGAATCCAGTGAGAGCTACAGTTTAAGATAAGGTGATAAATCTGTTAATAATCTGCAGAGACTTCTGAGGTGAGAAACCTGCTCACACCAATCGGCTACAGCAATAAAACTACAGGAAACACTTGTTTTCTTTATTCTGTTTAAACTGCAGGTGATGATTTATGGTCAATCACAAAAGTTTTGAACCATAAACACATGAAAATCAGTTTCTTCTGAGTGACTTTGGGGTTTCTTTTCCCAGTGACCCCACCGAGGGCTGTTTCAACTACCCACTGTTGGAGAAGTTCCTGATGACCAAGCGCTGCTCTCGGGTGCTGCTGTCCTACTACATGCTGTGCCGGGGCCTGACTCTGGTCACCCTGCTGTGCGCCTGCCTCTACCTGGGTTACTACCTCCGCCTGGCCTCCGTCACCGACGAGTTCGGCTGCCCGCTGCGCGTCGGCCTGCTCGTCAACGACACCAGCATCCCAGAGAGGGTTCAGTGTAAGCTCATCGCTGTGGGAGTCTTCTCTCTGCTCAGGTAAAAACCTTTTTCAGCTTTCAGGCTGACCGATGTTTCTAAATCATTGTTCACACTGATATAATAATAATGATGGAGTTTGAACTTTTCGAAATATAATTGGTGACGTTATTGTCATGAAGAGGTATGGAAAATCATTGTAATCCACTCTTTCAGATATTTCTGTTAGTTATTTTTGACAGTTATAAATTTCTTTCCTTTCTTCCTGGTCTCCTTCTTATCTTTCCCTGTTTCCCTCCTTCTGGAGTCTTTTGTGTCCTTCCCTAATTACTACCTTTCTCATATTTCTTGTGTCCTTACTTTGGTCCCTCTATCCAGTCACATTGCTCTTTGTTTTCTGCCATTGTGTAATCTTTTTTTTTTTACCTTGTCTTCTGTGTATTCTCCATGCATCTTTCATTACATCCTTCCTTCCTAATGAACTTCCTATCTTTCACTTTTTCCCCCCCCCTTCTTCTTTCTATGAGGTCCTTTTTCAGTCTTTTAATGTTTCCTTAAATGTGTTTTTTTTTTACCATTCCCTCTTTATGTTTCTGCTCCTTTCTTACCTCACAGTTCAGTCATGATTTTATTTACATAAAGTGTGATGAAAAGTTCATTCATTTAGGATTCATCGTTTTCCAGCTTTCAGCCGGTGTCGGCCCTTCTCTCTTCAAATTAGACTCGAGCCTCTTTGCTTTTTTTTTTTCCCTGTCCAGTGCTGTCAACTTGGCTGTGTTCGTCGCCCTGATGCCAGTGGTGATCTACGCCAGTCTCCGCCCCCTCATCTGCCAGGGATACGCCCGCTTCCTGGAAACCTACCAGTTACTTCCCACTGTGACCACCCTGCCCTCCCCTGATGGCCAATGGGACGACCTCTCTCTGTACCTGCTCTACCTGGAGGAGAACATCAGTGAGCTCAAGTCGTACAAGTACATGAAGGTGTGTTTTTCTTCAATCGTCCATTCGTCAGATATTGTGGAAGAACAAGATCACAGATGCTTAGGGGTTCTTCTGTATAGAGAAGGCTGTGGCCCCAACCCAGCCCAGAACTCTCTGGGCGGATTATCAAACCCTCCTGGCCTGTATTCATGTTGAGATCTCCTGGTAACAATTATAGTAATGGTGGGATGAGGGATGTTTGAATTTGTCCACTACCTTTGCAACCCAGATAAGCAGAAGATCACTAGGCATGACCTCCAAAAGGATCATATTTTAGCCGCTATTTTGTTGATAAACTGGAATATCTGTAATGTTTGAAATATTTAAGTGTTTTTGCCCTGCAGGTTTTGGAAATGTTGAGGAAGCGTGGCGAATGCTCAGGAGAAAACTTTGACACCGTGGGGTTGCTGCAGACCCTCTGCTTGGTGAAGATGGATACGGTGGATGGGAACAAAACCGTGAGTGTCGCAAACAAACCGGCTGGAGTAAAGATGGAGGCTGCTGATGCAGCAGCCGGCCATGGAGAAGCTGGGAACAACCTCAGACGTCCAAACTCTGCATCTGGAAACGAGACCAAGATAGAAACAGAGATGCAAGGTAAATAATATTTGATAAAACTTACAGGGTCCCCCTTCGCAGCCCAAAAAACTTTACTACTTTATGATCTCAAGAACCCCTTGTACTTGGTTAATCTAGTCCAGGCATGCCCAAAGTTGGTCCTCGAAGGCCGCTGTCCTGCAGGTTTTAATAGTTTCCCTGCTCCAGCACAGCTGATTTCCATCGATAGCTGATTAACAGGCTTTTTCTGGACTGCAATCATCAGAATCAGCTGTGCAGAAATAGCGAAACCTCTACAACCTGCAGCACAGCGGCTCTTGAGGACCGACTTTGGGCTTTTTTTTTATATCGCAGCTGTGAGCACTAAACTATTTTAGTGTGTAGTTTAAAAATATATATATTTTAAAATATTTAACACTCTAAATAGAGTTCAATTAACTGTTTTAAGGGATCAGACTTCTTTAAATTGTTAAAGCATTAAGAATCAAAAGCAAATAACTGATTCTTTGTCATTGTGTGCTGTTCATTAATATGTTTCTCACCAAATCGATAGCCTGGAAGAGTAGCAGAAGTGCTTTGATCAGCCTTTTTAATACAAATTATTAGGAAAATGACACATAGGAGGTTAAAAGAAGTTTGCATTCCCCTTTAGTCAAAGAGTGCCGTCTATCTGCTGTATGCTGAAAAGACAGTTTTCAGTTGATGCATTTTACTTTTTAGTGTTTGATCAAGAAGGACGGATAAAAGCAGACACATTGCATTTTGAGGTTTGCATCAGGGGTGGCAGGAGCCTCTTATTCCTCAAAGTGGCTGACACAGGCAGGACCACTGGAAGTACAGAGGGCTTTTCATTCATATAGTGGCATCTGGCTGTTTTTTTTTTTTAAGGTTACTTTATACTTTAAAGGAATAGTACACCCAAAACATGATTAGCCTTCATTTTCTACTCACCCCCATCACTCTGGAGTACTTTTTTGATATCTCAAATGCATCTGGAGATCTGGGAGACTTCTTGCTGTCTGCTGACATTCAAATAATGGAGGTCTATGGTGACCGAGGCAGAAAGGTCCATAAAAGTCCACAAAAAACGTGTCAATATTCCTCCATACTGCTCGTCCAATGTATTCCAAGTGTCCTGAGTGGGTAGCATCCAGAATTTACTCGAAACGAAACGAAATTTACTCGGAAGCCGGCAGACCAAACCAGATGAAAGTGCGCACTCAGCGTCTGCTCTGCCAATAATGCAAGCGTAGA